CAAAATCGGGGCACTATGTTATAAATCCTGAAGACGCTCAAATAGCAGTTCATGGAAGATTTACATTCTCTCATCAATTCTTAGAAATGTACTTGAAAAAAATAATTTGATTAAAATTTCCCAATCAAATCTAGTTATAATCAGCCTGATAAGTCTATGTAAATACATACATGTATATTCTAGTGTCTTCCTCTAACACGAAACCAGCTCTTCCCTAAGTTTATTTCAGAAGCTTTGTATAAAGTTGTGTTATTTCAATGTGGTAACTGTACATGTATGTCTTTGACTTGCAAATACCTGACTTGCATTTGCATGTGTTTGTGGTGGATACGCTCTAACCTGATTCATGAGTATGATTCATTAACACATGCTTATGATATAGTCGGAATGGAATGGAAAAGAAGTAAATTATGGAAATGGTTTTGTTTATTTTGTTTCCAATAAAAAGCGTTTTCTTTTACAATGTTAATAGTCGTCCACACATCAAGAACTGTGTAATACAAATACCTAACGACGTAATATTTGTGAAGGACTTCGTTTACCATAGGAAATCTTTAATAACCAAACGATTTTGTCCAGACTATTTCACATTATATTCAGAATGAAACTTATCACGAAACATTATGGGATACTAGACATGCACAAAACATTAGTTGGTTATGAGGTTTCCTGACGGTCATTTTGGCCGACACATGATAGTGTTTGATTCTGTTCTATGTTATTTGTTGCCGTGAAAATCACCTCAGCTAATGTGTGTACGAGTATTTGTGATTGGAGTCATGACCACAAGATCACCATACATTTGAAGTCTAAATAAAGTATAGATATCGGTATTGGTAAAAGGAAAAGAAGCTTTACACTATGATCTTAAATAATGCAGAGTAGCATGCTATGGAAACCGTAACTCAAAATCAGTCAAGGAAAAAAGTAATACAATATATTGTACCGTACATTTAGCACAACGGTCACAAGATAGCGTGACTATTCTGTCTCGAAAGTGTCGCGATAGTGGCGTGAAAGTGTCGCGATAGTGGCGTGAAAGTGACGCGATAGTGGCGTGAAAGTGGCGCGATAGTGGCGTGAAAGTGGCGCGATAGTGCCGTGAAAGTGCCGCGATCTTGTAAAATGTTATCGCGAAAATGGCGCGAAAGTGTCTCGAAAGTGGCGCAATACTTTCGCGTTAAAGGCTCAAAGGTGGCGCGATAATTCCGCGTTAGTGCCGCAATAGTGGCGAGAAAATTTCGCGAAAATAGGGGAAGTTACTTATGAAATGTAGTGTAGGTATATAAATCCGGCTCCAGTGGAAGTGGTCCAGAACCCCTATTACCTATACTACTCATTGATTGGATAAAATGGACATGATCGTGGCAACGGCGGTAAACAAACAACTTCATCTGCATTGTGATCCCACAATACTATTACAATCCTTTTGGTTATATGTAACTTATTGTTTTTTAAATACATAGTTGTATAAATCTTTGTAGAAATGCTCTCGTATTTTCGAGTTTGTATATGATTTCCTTTTATAAATTTTCGGACATTAACAAGCTGCTGACACATGACAGGATGGCCTAACTTGCGATTTATTTAGTTGAACAAACACCACTAATAGTTGAAACTTTGTGATCATACGCGAAATCTGAACTTAATTACACTTTGACAAAACAATTCAATAGCTAAATAAATCTTATCACAATGCTTGTAATTTTATCCATCATTGATGAAACCGGAAGCACATACGGCATCGCACACATCGAGGTAAAATATGCAATATTTGGTAAATTACTATCGGGAAAACTTCAGTAATAGATTCATATTCCTGCCAATTATTTAATCACCTTCACCTGGTTACTGTTCATTGACCTTGGTAGCTATTGCGGTTGTCTTCACGCTTATGTTGTTTATCTCTTGGTAACATCAAATTTTAAAGTCTAAATCCAAAACCGTAATGGATTCTGTGCTCAATGATTTTCCAATTATTTTCTGCCAATGATGTTGACAAGAAGATAAATCATATAGTTTTGTCATAATGATAACAACATAATATTGTTATTGGTCTATAGTTGCATGAAGGAGTACTGAACATGTCAATGAATTATTGAGAACCCCTTATTGAGAACCCCTTATTGTGAACGGCTGAAACTAGGTAAATCAACAAAGCGACTGGATTTCATTGAACGATTGGGTCAAGAAATATTTCGCATCTGTATGATTCCTTTTTCACTGTATATAATTGGTATAATTCTTGCAAATACTTTACTATTACAGCTTTTCCGTACATGAAGGCAGGAAAATCTCACTTCTTTCCTGTCTGTCCTAGAATCAACACGTCCATGTACATGTTTTCTAGCACTTACCTGTAGTCATATTATAAAACTGTATTTGTAGATTCTTGGCTTTGATTCGTAAGGATTAGTTTTATAAGTGTAAGGAGTCACCATTACTGGCTTCCGACTCCCGTACGGACCTCACAGACTCTACAGGCTTCCAAGCCACCGTTATAGAAACAACTCGACCACTGTATGGTGCCAGCACGGACCGCTAGGATTATCAACTAGTCATGGGGCTATCCACTCAACTACACTTGTACCAAGCGATCTTAGCACTAAGACTATCGTAAGCCTATGCTAAAATATTGGAATTACTATCATCTTAGTGCTAAGATCACTTTGTGCAAGTGGGTCCTGGAGTCTAACCTTTAAGATGACCATCCTACGGCCTCCCCCGTCCCTTCTGATTCTGAACGGGAAGTTGATTAAGATTTTCTCCACTGCAGGTATTTGGCGCTCTCCTATCCTTTGTGGATATATTGTTCACTCTTTACCATAACATGACAAGTTTAACTCCCTGTACGGACCATCCTATGCACTGAGTTATGCACAAGGGATTATCGGCCATGCCTCAGACAATCTTCAAAAACTTTGACATGATGTCAGACTGCTTCTCCCTTGAAGAGAAGATTGTATCAGGCACATGAGTCAATTGGACAATGATTTTCTCAAGCTAGTCAAAAATCCCAGCATGAGATTGTCTCTACCTACTAATCGCGTTCGCCAACAACGGATACTGCATGGACATTGGCTCCTATATTAATTGGTTTGGAGCGGAAGTTCGTCACGCCATCCCTCCACTACTACCAGATTCTGATGAGGTCCCAGCAGATACCACCGTACCCATTTGGGTAGATCAAGAGGGACTTATCAACAGCCTTTTAGATGCAATTGTCAAAATGCAGCGGGAACTTCTCACTATGCAAGTATTGTCGTCTTTTCAATTAATTTGGCTTCAACACCAGCAGCTCTTATCTCAGATAAGATCCAAGGCTGTATATTCACAGGCCAAGAATATCTTGATGAGTCAACCTATCATGGCCCTTATGATGTTTAACAATCAAGATCATAGATGAGGTTAGAAAAGATACACCGGAAAGGTTTCAAGTATCTACTATCAACTCACTGCCAGAGCTCATGAAACATCTAAAAGACCTAGAGACCATTCAAGAGATGCTCCATTCTGTGAACCACTGCGGAAGAAGTATATCCTTTCGGCAAAGAATCATCTTAACGAACACATTGTTCATAATATCATCCCAACTCTTTTTGTTGGTCAGACTATAAACGTTGGGGATCCAACAGAAGGGGCTCCAAATTCGGAGGTCACCGGGACCGTAGATGATTCCATTCCAACTCCACCCACTGTCACAAACCTTATCGATCTGGCTATGTCTATGGACTACAATCTATGTGAAGATCCGGGATAGAATAGGTCTTCAGCAACCCTTAAAAAGGCATAAAAGACGACTATCCTTGTCATAAGAGGCGACAAACAGGTTCGGGTGGTCAGGCCGATGACTTGGTTGATGCATGTCATCAGATCCCAATTGCATGGATCGATGCTCATGATGTCAATCACTGGATTGACTGGTCCAGACTCGATTTGTATTACGTATGGATATCATATAGCTGGAATATTGCTGAGTGCGGCGTTAAACAACAAACCAACCAACCAAGCTTATCTCAGAAATAACTCCACTTCGCAGTGAATGGGCCTGGCTACGACTTCCTGGTTCTTCCCATCAAAATCTTGATTGCGTCATGGCTGTTCACCAGAACAACAGCACCAGTGATCAGCTATGCCCATCTCCATTTAGTCTACCAACATGGATACCTGGACAATTTTCTGGTGGCTGATCAAGACAAGTGTCAACTGTCTAAAAAACGGACATTTCTGACCCAACTTATGATTTGTCTTGGATTCCTTCCAAAACAGAGTTCACGCCCATCCAGGATTTGAATTACATCGGGGCCCGCTTTCTTCTTCAGAAGGGCTTACTCTGCCCTCCAGCATGTCATGATGGGCATCCCTGAGATGCCCCATGGACGGAGACAGGGAAAGGATCTCCACATCAAGTACATGGAGATGAGGGCTATATTCTATTACATCCAGATTTGGAAAATCTCTTCACCAACTCCTCAGTTCTTTTCACCACAGACAACACCACAGTAGTGGTGAATATACAGAAACAGGGATGAGTCCATTTCTCTGATGACGGAGACCTTGCTTTTATTCGACTTGGCTGACTCATACAACTGCCGGATGGAAGTGAAACATATTCCAGGGACGTTGAACATACTTGCAGACAGCCTGTCCAGGCATGGTAGGATTGTTTCCTACTTATGTTTACAGAAAGATAGATTGATAGATTTTTTGAGTCTATTCACATAATCATTGGGGAGAAAAAAACTACTCAAAACATATAAAAATATGATACCTCACAGTTAGATGAATAATATTTCCATATTCAGTGTAAGATCAAAGGGTGATCCTCATAACAACAAAACTCCCCTTTAACTCCTTCATCGTTCCAATGTACATACTTATGCATGCAGTCACAGATGAACAGAGATCAGAGAATCAAACCAGCAGATGTCATAAATGGAGAGAGAGAGGAGATCCAGGTCAAATCATGATTCAGCATTGTTTTTATGTTGCCTATGTAGATGGACTCCCAAAGAACTCGCCTACACAGCACCACAGTAGAAATGGAAATGGCATCTCAGGCCAGGAATGATCTTGAGAGGTGAGTCTTTAAGGATTCCTTCCTTTGATGATGTAAAAAAATCCTGATGTGCACATTTGTGTTTTAAAATAGAGGCATAGGACTTGTTTTGAAGTTGTGTTCATTAGATATGTGTTCTCCCAAACCAGAAGTGAAGTTCATTTTAATCTTGATAATGGGATGTCACGTTTCACCAATCCATCATCAGTGCATCAATAATATTCTCAACATACACACTTACCTGAATCCATTCATATTTTAATCCTGTGTCATTTCACACATGGACCCATTCATTCATATTGAAATGTGTAACTTTGGGTGCACACTTAAAGTGTTTCATCGACAGGGAATTTGGATTTTATTTGATAATAGAAAATACTTTTATTTTATAACTTAAGTGTGAAAGACTGAGTTTTCCGAAGTTGAGAAAAGTGATATTTTCATTGCAGTGAACATAACACTTGATATTTCACAGGGAGCACGGGTGGCCCAGTCATCTAAGACGCCACACATCGCTGTGCAGAGTTGCGTCCCTTGGGCATGCCAGAAACCTATGATTGTAGGTTCGAATCCCAGTTCGCCCCGATTATGTTTCTAGGTTTGTCAGCACCATCACCGAAGTGATAAACATCTGAGACCTGCATTACTTCGGGCTGTCCTCCCACATTAAGCTGACACGCCGCGTTATAACTGGAATAGTGTTAAAAGCGGCGTTAAACCCAGCTCACTCACTCACTCACTGATTTTTCACAGCAATGACCATAACACTTGGACGAAACTATTGTCATGCAAGACTTAACTCACCACAAACTGTCTCCCTTTATCATCAATGTCTACTAGCCCCAAAACAATCTGTTCACTTCCTTTTTACTTTAGTTCCACATTGACAAGGCAAAATAATGGCAGATGGTCATTTATGTCGCTTCTTGACATTTGTTACTCTCCTGAAATTTTTTCGTTAGAAACTGTAAATTTCTCATTTAACTCCGCATATCAAGAGTGGTTGTTTTGCAAAGCGCCATTTTTGTTACTTGACCAGCATGTATTCTTTTGCCTCCAACTGCTGTCTTGTGGATTTCAATTGTATTTTTTGTTTAAAGGGCAAGTTCACACGAAAATAAACCTATTTTTCTTGTACTTTTTCATCATGAAAAGTATTTACCTAGTAGTTTCGGAGGCAAAATAATTAAAATATTACACGTATCAAATTTATTTTATTCATAAAATCGGTTCATATTTTTCCCATTTACAGAGAGTTCTATTTCCATAATAAACACACCATGGCTTATGCCCCTTGCAATATGACGTCATTGGTGCCAATTGATAAAGGAATGATGTCATAAGACTTTATTAGACGCGTTTCACGTGGTGTATGTAGGTGTGTGGTTCTATCTTCTCAGATGCGCAGCCTAGCTATTGTTTTGTTCGGTGCCGAGCTGTCCAAGATACAACGCTAAGCACAATTACTCTAAAATTATTTCGTTTCCCAAAATCGCGACTGATAAGACAACAGTGCACTGATAACATACTGTAAGATTCGCGATTATGGTTGGAAGGGTCCGTTATGCCCTTATTCGTTCATTTGTGTTGCGCGTATTGGCTCTTGCTGAGTTGCTGTCGTCTTCCGTGAGAGTTTAGATACCTGCTGGTTCTGAAACCACAGGACCATATGAAACTAATGATAACAATAAAAAAAACTTGCCAAAAAATTATAGACGAGGCCGAAGGCCGTTTTTGTTACTATTATTAGTTACTTATGGTCCTGTGCTGAAACTGATCGGAAGCGGATGGTGTATGATCCTTATATGGAAACGGGCTAAAGGGACAGCACTCTTATCAAGACCCTGACTGGGATGTTTTTGTAAACAAACGCCGTAAAGTTGAAGTAACTCGATCAGGTAAGTTTGCTGTTTTAGTTTTACCACAGTAGTATTTAAGAAATGTATTTTAGCAGGGGTAGGGTAATATTTGTACATAGTTTCACTTGATAATCATGAATATCCGCGATGTTGTCTCGTTCACATGTTCACTTCCTGCATGGTTATGTCGATACTCCTGATCGTTGCAGTATGCAGCAAACTCCTGTTGATGAAGTAAGTTGTGTTACGTAATGTTTTAGTTTTACAGCCATTCCCGTCTGGAATTAACACAAATCATCTCATTTCGGTAATAAATAAACTTTATAATAACACAGGAAAACAAAATATAAATTACATAAACTCATTGAAATTCTGTGTGTGTGTGTGTTTGTGTGTGTACCTAATCTTTAAATAATCTTGTACAATAATTTTGATTCAGACTGTTGAAGCAAAAATCCGCAAAAATACATTGTTGCAACATGTTTATTTTTTACATTTAGGCTTTATATATTTTTTATTTAAAAAGATATCTGGTTTTACCTGGTTTGTAGCTGAACAAATATCCAGTCACTATCCAAAATCATCGCCCACCTACCACACAAAATATTCAAATTTCATGTTCAATGCAATTTACACACATATACAATTTATAGCACATTTATACATGAAAAAAATCAAGTTACCATTTTATATTTTGTGATAGTGAGATATAGATGATAAAAGTGTTAATGTTTCTATGTTGTATCTTTCAAATATGAAGTTTTGAGCCAAGTCATGCCAGACACCGATGCCCAGAAAGTACAGGTCCCCAGTCCATCATGGTGTACAGTCACTGTCCAATGTACACCAGAAGCATGGCACACCTGCTTCACAGTATGAGGTACAAAATAATATTTTGACAATGAATAATCACACAATGTAAATACTATATGCTAATAATTTCTGTATTGAACTATTTTGTGTATCTATTATATTCTATATTGTTGTCTTTTGTTGTAAAAGTGTAGTGTGGATGACAAATGAAAGTATACTGTGAATGACATATAAACGTTTAGATCTGATACAATTTGTACACAGTTAACTGATGATATTTGTATTCAGGCACCCAGTGACATGCCTGACACTGCTGAAGATTATTACCAGCTTCTTTTACAATTATTTAGTCAGTGTACATATTATTTTGACAAATTTATGTTAAGATTATTTTTTTATTTTTCAGGTCCCACAATGATATGGAAGAGTATAAATGCGACAAAACCCTTTCCATATTCATATGAAATCTCTGTAAAAAACAGTTGATGGTACGATTCTGACTAAATCATGAGCACGTGTTAATGAATCGCTATCAAATAGTGATAATACCAGGTGTTCACGAAAAGGTGAGAGTATCCTACCCCACCGGTGTCACAAGAAAGCCCTGGTGTTGAGATCCATTTTCATTGTGTGCAAATTGTGTTTATTTTCATGCAGAGTTACAAGTCATAAAATATTAGAGTGTCTTGTGAGGTACAGTGCTTCAGACAACAAGAGAGCTGTACCTTTGAAATAGTCAACCAGTGCACTAACAAGTTGCCACTGAGCATTAAGCCAGTGCTTGTGATATTTTCTTCAGTCTTTTCCCCGGCCTTCGCCCTTGCCCAAAACTAACTGATCCAGCATGAGCCATCCTGTATTACAGAAACTTATCAAGTGAAACAGCAAAGGCTGATTGTTGTCAGAGACCATAAAACAAGATTTCAATGAAAAAAAATATTTTAATGAGCATAGAGAAAAACATTACATACATCAGATGGAAATCTTTCATGAATCACCTCCACAACACAAGATGGAATAACTTTTCTCTGATACTTTAAGTTCTATCATGTTGACATGATGTGTTTATTACTGTAGGTTTGAATACTTCTTGAAATAATGTGGGCATGTTTCAATATCACTGATGTAATTTAATAACCTTACAAGTTACATATGCTTTCACAACTTGCTGGCAAATAAATATTTATGGTACTCGAATCTCTTATTTTACTTGCCAGATTTGTTTGTTGTGCATGATAGATCTTAAAATGCATAATAAAATAAATTGATGAAAGTAAATCATATTATATGTTTTTTAAACTTTATTTCAAGTGTTAATATAAAAAAGGGTGGTGGGGTAGCCTTGTGGTGAAAGCGTTCGATCGTCACACTGAAGACCCAAGTTTGATTCCCCACAAGGGCACAACATGTTAAGCCCTTTTCTGGTGTCCCCAAGTTGTGATATTGCTGGAATATTGCTAAAAGCCGGGTAAAACCCTACTCACTCACTCACATAAAAAAATGATTGCATATTTCATTTGCATTTTAGGAGGTGGTTGTTACAGACGTTTTGCTCAAAAGGTCAAATTGGGAGGTCCAAATTTCCAAACAAAGATTTACAATTTCAAATATTTTTCACTAATATTCAACAAGTTATACTTATCATTTCTTAGATAATTTATATGTATTGATTGTGACAGTAAATGAGCTTTTTGTAAACATTTTACATATATCTGGTCCACTCAGTTGAACAACCCACTGTTTTTAATAATTAATTATATGTCAAATTTATTATTTTAGTTTGTGCACAAACAACTAGTACCTTAGCCGCAGCTTCTTGCGCTTCATGTATCCTACAACGTCGTATATTTTATTATGAACTGTCATCACTTGTACATCGTACTCCATTTTTTCTGCTATGGATCAGGTTACACTTTACCTATCCCACAATTCAATTCTTTGTCGGCAACGCATGTGCAAACCCATGCTTCTGACGTCACTCACCAAAGCCTATTTAACCCTTCACCTACCATCCGCTCATTCTCGTTTCTATCAAAGCCATCTCGTTTATGCTTCTCGTCATCGGCCTTAATCTCGATGTTATTTTGACATCCATTACCGTATCGTGTTGCCTATTGTCCTACTCTGGGCCAACATGTCTGCAAGCAGAGGGAAACAACCCCTTTCGTCTAGACGACCTCGTAAAGGCAAAAGTGTCAGCGGCTCAACTTTGACCCCAGATCACAACAAACAAGATGGCGACCTCACACCTCGCTCCAGTCGACCTAGCCGGGCAACCCCCCCGTATTTGACTGCGGCCGACCTGAGAAACCGACTATCACAGCTGGGAATGAAAGTGCCTACCTCGTG